TTTTTTTTTTTTTTTCTTTTTTCTTTTCTTTTTTTTTTTTTTAATCCCCGCACCAAGCGCTTAACCTCATTGGGGTGGAGGAGAAGGCGGCGGCTGTCCGGTCCGCAGCGGCAAACAGTAGCGAATAATAGGATTGTAAGTACCGGGTTAGGGCGAGGAGGTTTAGACCCGAGTCGTCCCGAGGCCCCCGGTCCCTCCCCCGCGGCGGCGGGCGCCGGGTCTGGGTGGGGGCGATGTCCAGCGCTGTCATCCACTCTTGGGTGCACTTTGGGGGGAGGGGGGCGGCCCTTAAGTGGGAGCCGGGTGAGGAGCGGGATGTGAGGGCGGTGGATCGTACCAGTAGGTTGCTGATCCCAGGCTTCTTTGCAGAGGGCGGGCGGGCGGCGCTGGGGTCAGCCGGGCTTTGTGTGCCCCTCACTTTCTCTCTCAGACTCCACCCCGGGCCCCCTTCCTGACCCGAGTCCGCCGGCCCCGGGGGGAGAAGCCAACTCGATTCGGGTCGCCTGGGAAAGGAGCTCGGGATTGCGAGGGCACGGGGCTCGGGAGAGAGACCTACAGCAACTAGTCATGGGCGAGTGATGGGTGTGGAGAAAGATCCAGAGGGAAGGGTCCCGGGGAGGCGAGCGGCCGGGCTCGCGGCCGGGCCAGACAAAAGCTGAACGAGCGGCGCGGAGCTGAGCAGCCCGCCGGGAGCAATGCGGAGGGTCCCCGTGTTCCGGGGGGGGGGGGGCCCTCCGAGAGCTTCTTTCCGAAGCTGGGAAAGCGGACAAGTGCTGAGTTAAGCCTGAACAGCCTCCTCAACTTGCCTTTGTTGTTCTTTGGTATTGGCAGAGACGCTCTGACGAAGATGAGTGTGTGATCTTGCACGTTAGCCTGGTTGGGTACAATGGAGCTAATCGAATTTTGCTTTCCATTTTTTTTTCTGAGCTTCTCGGATGAGTATGGGGTTTTCCAGAGTCTAACTTATTACATAATATTTAAAGAAGAGTTGTGTTTATTTCCGAAATTAAAAAAAAACACATAATTAAGTGGAGTCTTATAAAGCATGTTGTGTTCCATCGGGTGAATTTCTGTTTAGCTTGGTTCCTTCATTAAATACTGACCTGTTCGTAGAACCCGTGAGCTCTTTAAACATGATACTTTAATTTGTAGATGTGGCAACGAGAGCTTCGGGTTCTGTAGTCCTTTGGGAGGCAGTGATGCAGAAGAGACAGAAGTGAGAAACAGTTGCATGTGCCATGTACCTTGCACCATATTCAGGTGTCCCAGTCTGATGTCAATTCTGGCCTTAGGAATTGTATTTTTATTACTATTATTCGGTATTCGTGACATTTACTGAACTTTTCCTATAAGGGATCTTAGACAGTCCCAGTCCGTTTACTCATCAAGAGGTTTAGAAGAATGGTAACATTGATGCAGAGACCATCCAGATAAGGAAAATAACACAGTGCCCCAGAGTACGGAATATTATTTATCTTCTCCATTTGCTAGGAAAATTTTTAAAATTTGATGAGCTGTTTGCTTACTCATTTTTGTAAAGTTGTCTAATTGCACCTTTGTAGCAGTTACTCAAATCTCATTTTCTGTAAGTCATTGTTTATTATGTGGTAACTTGTAACACTGCCTCTTAGGTTTATAAAGTTTTAATTTTTATCAAGGAATTTTCAGCCATCCTTTTTAATTAAGGTTAGCCAGTCAGCACTCCTTCAAAGAGACTTTATTAGTGGTGGAGATGTCAAATACTGTATGTTACAGTCGATGTGGCAAGTACAGAAAAGGTTTTTTGCAAAGTTTACAACATAAATTCGTGTTAGAACCCAACCCTAGATCTCCTACTGTGTCAGGCTTTTGAATTAACCCACAGATTCAACCTTATTTATGTGCAGTAGATAAGGAAGCAAAAATCTGAAGCTTCATGTGTTGTGCTTTGGAAACTACTTCAGTAGAATGTAAGTGTAGTTCAGATGATGGGAACTTGCTTTTTATAGAGGAAGATTTCAGATCCTTAAAATAGTTTACATGGATGATGAGAAATGACTGGCTAAAAGAAGTTTATTACTGAAATGTGTTATATTTTGTTTGGTTTTGGATTTAGATTTTTTTTTTTTTTTTTTTCTTCAGTCTTCCATTAAGTTTTGCTTCTTTGCTTTTGTTTTGGTACTGGGAATTGAACCCAGGGGTGTTTTACCCCTGAGCTTCATCCCTATCCCTTTTTATCTTTTGAGACAGGGTCTAGCTAAGTTGCTTAGGGTCTGAATCTGGCCTTGAATTTGTGATCCTCTTCCTGCCTCAGCCTCCCAAGTCTCTGGGATTGTAGGTTCATGTTACCATGCCTGGCTTCGGTGTCATGATTTAGAAGTTGGATGAGATAGATTGAGATTCTATTTGTTGATGTCAATTCTGGCCTTAGGAGTTGTGTTTTTATAATAATATTCTACTTAAAATTACTTTTAAATATAATACTTTTAATTTTATAGTACCATCGGTGGATCTCAATCATTTAAAGGTCAATGTTAGGCTCAGAGTTGTTCCACCCCCCCCCCCCCCGCCCCCCCAGATCTGAGTTTTAATAGCTATCAGTTGTGATAACTGCATATTTGGTTGTCAAATTAAACAGTTGAAATAGTAGACAGTAGTAAAACATGTTTAAAAGCAGAATCATTTAAAAGATTTCCTTGAAAAAAGTGAAGGATCTGTTAGTCTTAAAAATAAAAACAAAAACTAAGGAAAGAAAGCATTGATGATACAATTTTTTGATTTATAAAATATAATTTAAAAAATGAACTAAGCTTTCTTTTCTCAGTGCCAGCAGAGCATCATCCATGAAGTGTATATAGATATTAGACTAAGTGACCTCTACAGCACCGGAGTTACTGATTTTTTATAGCTGGGTCTTCACCATCCCAGGGCTTTCCTGCCCCTTTATGCTCAGACTATTCTCGCCTGGAAGTCTCACCCCTTGCTGTTTCCTGTCATATAGTCACCTTCCTCCTTGCTCAGGTTTACTTGTGGACATGCACTCTTCTCTGGGTCCTTGAAAGCACAGGAAGTTTGTAGAACACATTATGGTATCCATGGTAACTTACTAATGTGATTTTTATACCTAGTGGAAATTGCTGATTATATAAAAGGATAAACAAATCCCTTGGAATGTAGACTAATAGGATTTGTATCTTGGAAGAAGAGCTCTTAGAGGCACCATAATCCAACATTCTATCATATTCCTGCTACATTCAGTCTCAAACCTCAGGCATGCTGCTCTATTCTTGTAGAGCCTTGATCGCCAGACATGTTTTTAGACTGTTCTAGAATCTGGTCTTCCCCTTTTACCTGTTGACATGAATTGTTCCCGCGAAGTAACATAAATTAAGTTTGTTTCTTCTTTACACAATAGCCCTTCGTATTTCCCAGGATAGCCATCAGGATTTATCTAGATTTATTGGTTAGATTATTTACTAAGTCCTTCAGGTAGGCCCCAGGTACCAAGAGGCATACATACATGGTTCCTGCACTTCAGGGCTCTTGGGCTAGGAGGGGAGACAACTACAGCATGAATTGATGGCAATTTTATTGGACACCTGCAAACAGCCTTAGGTTCTTTGTCCCTTGCAGGTTTATTTGTTTGGTGCTGTGGATTGAATTCAGGGCCTTGTACCACAGGTTAAGCATGTGCTGTATCACTGAGCTACTTTCCCAGGTGCTCTTCTAGTTTAGTAGGGTCTCACTGTGCTTCTTTGGGCAACTCTGTTTTTAAAAGAAAACAGATTTCAATATGATCTGACCAGAGTTTACATACAACTGTTTTCTTTCTTTCTTTCTTTTTTTTTTCTTTGTTACTAAGGATCTAACCCTGCGATACTCTGCCATCAAGCTACATTCCCAGTTCTTTTTATTTTTTAATTTGAGACAGGGTCTTGCTAAGTTGTGGAGGGTCTTGCTAAATTGCTGAGACTGGCCTTGAACTTGCAGTCCTTCTGCTTCAACCTCCAAGTATCTGGGATTACAGTGTGCACCACCATGACTGACTGTACAATTTTCCTAGTGTAGGAAACTAGATCAACAATTTTCAAACTTTGCCACGTTAGTCTTGTGACTTTGGGCCAATTAAGTAATCTCTTTCTATTTTATTGTCTTCATCTATAAAAGTGAGGGTGAGGGGAGGGCAGTGTTTACAGCAGCACATACTTACATGGTTGTAAAGATCATATAAGCAATACATGTAAAGTGCTAGGACAGTGACTAGCATATATTTAATGGGTGATACATGATAATATTGAGCTAATATTAATTACAATGTTGTAGTAATTGCAATAAGAAAGTCACTGGAAGCACTTTGGGAACTTGTTAAATTATAAATGGCTTGGGTTTATTTATTTACTCTCTTCCATCCAGAAATTTTGATCAGTTAAGTCTGCATGGAACCTGAGTGTCACTTTAAAGGTTGAGAATTCTTTCTTCTATATTTATGCTGTCAGTGATTACATTAGCTGTTGTTTTTAGGTACTGGGGATTGAACCCAGGAGTGATTGACCACTGAGCTACATCCCTAGCCCTTTTTTAAATTTTGAGACAGGATCTTGCTAAGTTGCTTAGGGCTTTGTTAAATTGCTGAGTCTGGCCTCAAACTTGTGATCCTCCTACCTCAACCACCTGAGTTGGTAGGATTATAGGCCTGTGCCTCCATGACTGGAAGCTTTTACAGATTAAAATTTAAAGAATTATCCACATGTAGATGAAGAGGTATAAAAATGCAAATAACGGGAAGGGCAGTGTTGATGGAAAAGGCAGTTTTAACAGGAGGTGCCAATCTTGGTGCTCCTCTGAGACACATCTGCGTAGCAGTTTAGACTTTATCCTTTTAAACACTGTTAATTATTACCCCCCACCTTTTTTGGGTAGAAACATAAATGAATGTCTTCATAATATTAATAGCCAGATTCAAAAAATCATGATTTTCAAAGCATCTTTATAGTCATAATTGTTTTTTCTTCCAAGTCCTGAAGGTGGGAATGGGCAACAGTATCTCTATTCTGTCACTTTGCACATAAGAAACCAAAGTTTGCAATTGAAATCCAGTCCAGATAAAACTAGGAAAAGAACTGGGCCTTCTGTCTCATGAGCCACATTATCTCTTA